AATTCAGGATGAGGTCACTAGAAAGTGTGCAGCAATGAAGAAACCTTAAAATTTGATAATTGCAGGGAAATGCTAGAGTCGGGCGAGGATGTGGCCACGTGCCCAAGCTGTTCTTTGATCGTTCGGGTGATCTATGACCCGGATATGTTCATGAAGACCGAATCGATCACAACCACAAAAGCTCTCCAAAAAACGGCTGTGAATCCGGCTTAATTGCGATCATTTCTATTCGAAATTCTTCTTTTCCCGTTTCATTTCAGCTCATCTTCAGTGAAGTTCACCTGATTTGAGTCCATTTTCTCAAGAACATTCATTTCTCATTGTAACATCATTCTAGAATCTTTTGAATTGATCGTGAGCTCCGAAGATTCCGAACTCACTCTTAACTTTTCCATAGTTTAACGTAAATTGTTGTTTTTTGTGAGAGTGGATTTAAGAGGTTGATATCTCCTCTGTTCAGAGGTTTTCGTGAGGATCTATTAGTCCTTAAATAATTATTATTATTACATCAGTAATTTGCAGTTGTGACTTTGTATTTCATAAAGGAAATAATTTCATGTTCTTGTATTTGTTGGAATTTTGTTTGCGGTGATCGTGTAGTTCAGGTGGCTTTGGAAGTCGAATCGGTGCAACGTTGGACGCCAGATAAAGGCAAGTTTCGAGCCTAGTGCCTGAATCGAGCCTAGACTTGAAGCCGCCGTCCGGATGTTAACGTTGATTTAGTGACGTGCCGTATTTCATCCTCACCTGCTCTACAAAATCACCAGCAAAAGTCTTTCGAAAATAGTTTTATTTTCGTTAACTTTTCACGTCACTTACGGGTATTGTTGTCTTCGGTGAATGCTGTCAGTAAGAGTGCCATCGTTCACCATCATCTATCTACTTCATTTATTAATATTATTATCACTTGTCAGAGAGATCGTATCATTTGATACGTATCAGTATTGTATTCGTGACTATCGCAGTGATATGTTGTTGAATCAGAAGATGAATCTTTGTTATTGTTGCTGCTAATACATATTATATTCGACTGGTGAGAGTCTCATTAACGTTATATAATACAGATAAATGAGTGTTCTGTTCTGATTTAATAAAATTTATTAAGTCAATTGAATGTGTTTGAGACATCCACGTTCACCTAGTTCGAATCTGAATGCGTCATATATAATAGCATGTGAATGTACTTATGCTCGGTAAAGATGGAAACGATTTTTGGATTTGAAGTTGATCTGATGAGTGATTTTGATTATTCATCGTGATGGAATTGTGTATGAGTGGTTTTGATTATTCGTCGTGATGGAATTGTGTCAAGTGAGTAGAATGAAATCAGTCTGAATTGTTCAATAAGGCAGTCATGTGATCACATTTTTACATTGCTAACTGATCGTAAGTATTTTGTACAACTAGTTTAATTCATTCAAGCAATTTGCTTTATAAACTAAACCAAAGTTTCATTTGAACTCTCGAGCAATCAATATTTTCGAAAGCTAGCAATGGTGAATGCACAATTTTAGTGATAGTTTAATGATTACTGCGATAGGGGTTTGCTTTTTTGTGTGGTTGAGGACTGCAGTGAAGGAATGATGTGTTGCAAATCATTGTGCAGTCTGCAAATATCATGTTAAGATGCATGATAATGTCATACAATTAGATCACATATATGTCGTTGACTCAACAAAATGATAAGAGCAGTCTTATCAGATT